GTTCTGAAGGAGCTCTTTCATGCATTTGAAGGATATAGAGTGACTATGGACCATTCTTTAGGCACCGCTCAGAGTATGGGCTGCTGAAAAACAATCTCTACACACTAACGATTGAGAAAATTATCAAATATATATTAACAAAACATATTCAATGGTGCAGCTCCTTTATAAAAGTGAATCACATCAAATGGATAGAGTATAGAAGGTACTCTTTTTTACAGAGGTTAGCCAAGGCTTGCCAACAAATGACACTTAAACAAATACCTCAAAGACTGCTAACTAGGAGACGGAGGGAGATCTGTTTGACAAGCAGAAGGGACAGCCAGTGCAAAGGCCCTGAGGAAGAAGATTGTTTAGAAGATCAGGGATCACAATGAGTCAGTGTGTCAAATGAAATTAGCACAGCAGATCAGGATAAGAGATGATATCAGAGAAATTGAGAAATAAGGAAGCCTGTGTGTTGGTGTTGAAACTTCAAGTCACAGAGAGTGCCTTGTGCACAAAGTTAAATTTTGTACTTTATTAATCTGGTTGCAAATGCATGCCATGAATTTAAAAGGATCTCCTTGTTACCTCCCCTTGATATGTTAGTCACATTGGAATATATCAGTCCAGGCACCTCTGCTCTGAGGACTGCTCTCAGTTTACAGGCCACCTGCGTGCGTGCGTGCGTGCGTGCGCGCGCGCACACACACACACACAAAACACAACACGCCATGGCCTCTTCATCTGTGTTATTTCCATGTCCTTCTCACTCCCACACTATGTAGGTTATGAGAAGATAAAAGTCAAAGTGCCCAGATTAAGTGTCTTTTCCAAAATGAATTTAGAAATATTACGTAAATATTCTTATATTAGGTCTCCCATGAGCAAATAAGCCTGGGGTTTCATACTGATATGCCCTTTTTCTGTTCTATACTTAAGTATGTTAAATAAACATAGAGGGAAGAGAGCAATCAAATGAACATGAGGAAGAAAAGAGATCTAATTAGCTCAGGTGGTCCCTGAAGGACAATGAGGAAGAAAAATCTCCTTTGGGTTCTGGCTGCTTTCCAAACTTAATTACACCCTTTTGAGGTTAAACAATAATAACAAAGTAGAAAAAATAAATTTGCTTAATTTGTAGTTAGAGATATGTGGTGTGACCACCCCAAGTGAAATCTGACCAAAAATAAAACAATAACTCACAAAGGCAATATACAAAAACAATGCAGGTTGAAAATTTTCACATCAAGCAGAGATGACTGGTTTGCCTCTTCTATATTTGATGAGTCAGTGTTTGTATGGTTGATGGCTAATGAGAGAAGCCTCTTTCTAATTTATCTTATGTGGCATCTCTGTTTTTCTCGGACTTTGGGTTTTAATCTCATTTTTGACAAATCAATGAGCACAGTCTAATTCTGGTTCTGGTCTTCATGCAACATGCAAAGGCCTCCCAGGACATGATCAATAAATCCTGCACACGCCATGAGGAGACACCCTTCTGAGTAACTTTTTTTCATATGATTTATGCCTGAGTACATTGTCATGCAAACATTTATTTCATTGTACTCTGTCTTCACCATCACAGTGCCAGATCCACACAAGCAGGGCTTCACCAGTTTTGTTCACCTTTGTATTTTCACAAATGTTTGTGAATATATGTGCACTTATATAGGCAAACCTTTAAGTAAATGTGAAGTTGTGAAATGAAAGGAATGACAGGGAGAAAGACACCTGGTTAAACAGAGTGAATTCCAAGCAACTGTATTAAAGAAAATTGAGTGGAACATCAAAAACTAACCAAAACAAGATGTAATAAATAGCAATAATTTAAGGTTACCAACATAGATTAGTAATTAAAATTGGCAATGGCATAAATATAGAATATAATCTATAATGTTTCTAGAAATTGTGGCAAACAGCAGATGCTACATTATTATTTGTTGAATGAATCAGGAATTAGGTGTCAGTATATAAGTGCACTGAACCCATGGTAAGGTTCCATTTCAATATATTTGGAACGACAGAATTGTTGGTTAAGAGCTGGAAAAATAATGAACTGGAAGAAAGTGAAGTTGTTCCCCTACCTCAGTCACTTTAAAAAATTCAGAGAAATTACCTATTCACTGT